TATAGGCGGACGTGATTCTCCTTGATATACAGACGTGAGTTCAGCCGAGATTATGTGAGAATAGAGATTTCGTCGCCGTTCAACCCTTCTGTGTTCGTTGCCGGAGTTAAACTGTGTTTGAAGGTCCAAGGTTCAGCTTTAATTTTGTTGGTTTCGTAAATGGGGCTGGGTTGTAGTGTGTGTATTCATATATGTGTGTATGTAGAACCGAATTTTTATTGTTTTTTTTGGGTCGTCTTAATTGGTGTAAAAGATCGTTACTGATTGAAAATTTTATTTCGTTTTATACAGTCGGAATTGTTTTTTTTCAATGAACAGAGATTGTTCGTATTCGTATGCTCTGAACAATTTCTAATGATCTCAGATTGTAATTACTTTGTCTGGTGCTAAATTAAAAATAAGTTGACAATATTATAAGAAGATTTGTGGGGCATTAATTAATTAATTAATTAATTAATTACTGATTAGTATTACATTAAAAACCAAGTGATGAATTTGACCGTTAAATTGGCTGTTAGATGTGTTTGACAGTTAAATATTCCTACATAGCCAAAGATCAGAAATTGTTCGGAGCAAAATGTATGAGTTTGTGTCGTCGAGTTGTATCTGATTTCATTTTATCTCGATTTACAGAGTAGTCACATAATAGTCATATTCTCACTGTTCTGTTAATAATTATGACTATTGTTGATTCACTCGATTAGTGATTTATGAATTTCTTGTTTGTTCCCCACTCTCTTTCATTCACCGTCGTTGTCGTCGTCTCCACCTCTTTCCCTTTCGTTATTTTCGATTTTTTTGTTTTTTTTTTGCTCTCCAGATCTGAAGCAGAAGCATTAACGTGACTATAGTCTGGTTCGAATATGACTATTGCTGATTCACTCGATTAGTGATTTATTAATTTTCTCGTGTTCGTTGTCTCTCTCGATTTCTCTCTCTTTACACTACCATCGTCTCCACATAGATTTGTACACCACCACCACCGTCGCCGCTCGTTGCCACCGCCTCCTCCTTCGTTTCCACGTAAGGCTCTTTCTCTATTTTTCGTTATCTTTCTCGTTTGCTCAGTTTTTTTTTCCAGATGCCACCACCACCACTACCGTCGCCGCCTCTTTCACTCTCTTTCCTTCACCACCGCCACCACAGCCGTTGTCGTCGACTCCCATCCCTCTCTCTAGTTATTTTTCTATTTTTATTTATGTATTTTTCGATTTTTTTCTCAGATCTGAGCAGCAGCAGTAACATGACTATAGTCATATCCGAATATGACTATAGTCATATCCGAATATGACTATAGTCATATTTATGTATTTTTCGAATATGACTATTGTTGAATATGTTCTATCTTCTCGTTTTCAAGTTGATTTCTAATTAGTAGATTCAAATTGTGATTTTTTGTGTGGATGTTGATTGGATTGTTTTCATAAACAATAGGGAATTTTCGTTGTTTTATATGATTTGGTAAACATGACTATGCCATATAATCGGAATTTTTATGTTCATAATGCAAAAAAAAAAAAAAAAAAAAAAAAAGAAAGAAAGAATATGACTACAGTTAATATAGTCATATTCAACTATAGTCATATTCGACGTTGCAAACTTGTGGAGAGAAAAATTTCAATTTTTTGTTTAAAAAAAATTAAAAAAATATATTTTTATTAAAAAATATTCAAAATGAAAATAAATTAAAAAGGCTAAATAAAGTCCGAAAATAATATATAAATAAAAAATAAAAAAATAAAGTTCAAAATAATTTTTTTTTGATTTGGTAGCATTTTTGTAGGAATTTGCAGATTTTTAGGAATTAAATTGTTATGGAAAGAGAGAAAAAAGGAATAATTGAGATAATTATACTAATTAATCCTAATTAGCGAGATTTAGGTGCCTCATTAATAGGAATTTGTAAATACTAGATAATTATCAAAAAAAAAAAAGTGATAAGTAGTAAAGGGTAAGATTGGAAATAAATATTTTAGGGGGTTTTCATAAAGAAAAAATTATGGTATGGACATATCACCATTTTTTATCTATAGGAGGGGTGTATTGCTAATGGCCCCTTAATTTAAATTTGTATCAATTTCAGTTTGAGTTACTATTTTGTTAAATATTGCAACAATTTTATAAAACATGAAATATACATAAACGTTAACATGGTTAAGATACAAACGTATCCTACTCCATGGGGGACATGTAAAGAATAATTCATTAATTTTAGTTTTACGAATACAATAATTAGACTTATTCAAAACTAAAGACTTCATCTTCATTGAAGCCGTTCTTGTATAATACTCGAAATTATGATCTTCAATTTGAAGTATGTCATCCACTCTGCACGGTTGAACACTATATAATGTTGAACACTATCAGTCGACGTATTGACCTCCTCCTGAGATCTTATCTTCTAAGTCCCTCCCCCGAAGAACTGACCTTATTTTTGCGTGAAAAAAGAAAAAAACTTGATTTGCAGTGTAAAACATTATCTCGTTCGTAGAGCAGTTATTTCTTTCTTGCGGATATACCATATAGGTAAAGAAAATATAAAAAATCTTGTATGCCTTATCTTGTATAATCTTGTAGCAATTTATGACAATAAATAAAAAGGACCGTATATACTAAATATCTTATTTTGTTTCACCGTTCCAAGACTTGTAGACCAAGTAAGAACTGGAGTTTTGAGATGATTAGAAATCTGCAGGATTCTAATAGGGTTTTCTTCCAACATGCGATATCTAACTTGCAAGTCGGAGTGTAACAGTTGTTGAGTGTATAAATTACAATCAATTATATGTATTGTAGGTTGGATTTTTGTGTGATTTGATACAATAAATGCGTTGATATGTTGTTTAATTGGCTATGTAGGAGAAGAAAGAGAGTTCGAGGTTGAAGGAGTTAAGGAGACTATACAGCGTAAAAACCGAGAGAACATGACGAAGATCCATACTTCCTTATCAGACCTCAATCCAAGAATTGTGAAGGAATTTCACACCCCAGTCTGAGATGAGAAGAAAAGAAAATTGACAATCTGCCTTACCGCGGTCTCATTTTTCAGTGCAATTTATAAGACCGCAGTCCGAGTGAATAAACAATGGTCTAGACTAGAGCCTGAGTCCACAATATGAGAAAATTAATTGAAAATGAGACTGCAGTCAGAGAGCGAGATGTATTTTGTCCGAAAATTTACTGAAAACTTGAAACTTGGGCCAAAAGTTTAGGTATAAAAAAAAGATTTCGAAGGCAAGTAGGGGAGTCTTTCCACGAAAATTAGGAGAAATCTTGGAGAAAAAAGAGCGAGAAAAAGACGAGGAATATTTGACGATTCTTCGTCATAGTTCCTCTTTACTATTTTTATTGCCTTTCTTTGAACAACATAAGTAGCTAAACTCGTAGTGTAGGAGTTCGTTTGAACCCTATGTGAGATTTGTTGGATTTAATTTATCTATTATGCAAGTTTTATGAATTATTTATTCATGAATCTGATCAATTTGTGATTTGTTTTTTTTGAAGTGATTGGCGAATTTGTTTAATTATTTAGAACTGTGGGTCGAAGAAGTATAGAGCTAATTTATCTAATTGGTGTTCTTGGCATGAATATATGATAGAAATATACATTTATCTCTTGAGTAGCCGTAATTGAAATTTGTTCAATGCTACATGTTTTAATCGATGTACATAGATGTATCGTAGATTGATTATGCATGTTAGGGCTATAACTTAGTGCAAATGTTGTTTATAATTAATCTAGTATTCCTAGTTAATAAAGTAATCATTAGCTTGTATGATTATGGGTATTATTTCTAACAAGTACACAAAGGGGAAGACGATATCCTAGGTTACTTCATTTTCAATGAGTTCTCCAATATTTGTTTTTTGCTATTTCTTTGTTAGACAGTGTTCTAATAGTAATAGTGGCGGTCGATATATCGGCTGCAATATTAGAATCGGTTGTAATCTTTTACGATTCTGTTGAGACGCTCGCGAATATCGGTTTTTTAACAGCGAGGCAGTTCGTAGCGGGTCAAACTCATATATGAGCCAATAAATCGGGTTATTTATTATTATTATTATTATTATTACTATTATTATCATTATTATTATTATTATTATTATTATTATTATTATTATTATTATTATTATTATTATTATTATTATTATTATTATTATTATTATTCATTTTCGTTACATAATGAGTACTTAGAATATAATAATATATAAATGATAGGATAGAATCATGTTTTAATATTATTTATATATAGATATATATTGAGTATTTACAAATAATATTTAGTAATATATTACACTAATTTATTTCTCATTCATCTTCGATAAATCATCGCTATCGTGTGGTGGTTCTTAACCCCCGCGAACCCAATAAGCGCAGAATCTTGGTTATTAAATTTTACGATTAATAAATCAAAACCACATTTTGTTACATGGATAAAAATCAATAGTGATAATTTAGGTGCTTAGAAGTAGAAAATAATTTACTCCATTTGAGCTCGATATCCCGACTCACAAGTCCGCTTTATTACTTATTAATGATACGTTCACTTGCGTACATGATAAATCACCAACAAGTTTTTGGCACGTGTCACATAGTGTTTTAAGTATATTTTGTAGGTAACAAGAACATTCATCACTCGTTCGGGCAACCAGAGCTCATGTGTAGTAACGTAAACTTGAAAATTCTCCAACTCGATTCCCAAACTACTCAAGTTGAATGGTCTCAAATGTCTGACAACTAACAGCAAGGGCTACATTGATACAAATTTTCAAGTGTAGGGGGGCAAATCGATGCAATCGAGAGTAAAAGGAGTAAAGTGATACCGAGTCAAAGTATTAGGGGGAAAGTGGAATTTACCCTAATAATAATAATAAAACTAGAAAAATGGACGCAGCAAACGACACGTCTTCCCGAAAAGTTAATTACGGCGTCGTATCCATTTTAACTTTGCAATAATTCCTTCTCTTTCAGGAAACCCTAAATCAATCAAAAATCGGTGATGATGCTGATCAAACCAGACCCCAATTCTTCCGCCGCCGTGCCGGTGTGCGGCAACTGCCGCGTGGAGGAGCGGCTGCTTCTCCTCCACCACGTCCGCCACCGCAGCGTCTTCCTCCGCCTCTGCACAACCTGCGTCCTCCGCCTCCACTCACACAACTTCTGCCCCACCTGCTTCCAAGTCTACCCCCCTCCGCCTCCCTCCAACGACGGCGTTCGCAACTGCTCCAAATGCTACTCCGTCACCCACCCCCACTGCGCCGATTCCGCCGGCGGCGGCCCCGCATTCCCCCCCGCCTCCTACGTCTGCCCCCTCTGCCTCCACCCCGACAAGCCCGTATTCAAATTGAAATCAGCAAAAGAGGCAAATGTAGACATCGGCGGCGGCGACGATTGCACTGCGATGATGATGGACAGAGATTCCGCGAAGAAGTTTATGGCCGCCGCAAAAATCGCGTCCGCATCCATGAACAGCGCGGCGGCGGCGGCGAAGGGAGAGGCGGAGAGACGGGCTAAGGAGGCGGCAGTGGCGAAGAGAAGGGCTAAAGAATCGTTGGACACGTCGCTCGTTTGGTGGTGAAGGAGAAGTTGCAGTATAAATACGACGTTTTCGCGCCACCTGGCAATCCAACGGCCCCACTCCAG